CACTGATGACAGGGGGGTGACTTCAACTCACCCACTATTCTAAGAGTCTGTCTCTCCCGTTAGGTCTGACAGTATTTGTTGTGTGTCTTAGTGGCCTTGAGTCAGGTGTATATATATTTATGACTTGTGTCTTCTTACTGAATTGAATATTTTATCAAAATATAATGTCTTTATCTCTTCCTGTAATTTTACTTTAAAGTCTGCTTTGCCTGACATGGTAACCTTACCTGCTCACTCTCGGTTTCCACATGCCTGGCATCGGTCTTTCCAGCTGTTCACTCGGAGTCTTTGTGAAGGGAGTCTCCTGCAGCAGCACAGTGGGCTTGTAGATGGTTATCCATTCAGCCACCATGAGTCGTTGGTGAATTTAATGCATTTACATTTCAAAATCATTGAGTTCCAAATCTGTCATTCCATAGACTTCCTTTAGTTCAGGTCTAACTCTGGAGGGCTGTTCTGCTCTTGCGCAGGCATCACGCTGCCTTGCGTCTTCAGGTCTCCCGTGTGCCCTCTGCTGCAGGCACTTGTTCCTCCTTTACGGGGCAGTTTTATGGGGAGTTCCTGCTTTGGCTGGCAGGCAGGGTGTCACCTGGCTTGTTGCTTTGGTCCCACGTGAGCCCAGGAGTGTCGTCTCTGATGTCTGTCAGTGACGCGGTGGTGCCGTCGCTGCAGTCTGTAAGGATGAAGTGTGGCTCTGATAGGAATCAGGGTTTCCTGTGTGTATTTGGTCCTCCGAGAGCTCAGTGTCAGTCTCCCTGGCAACTGTTGACAGTCGGTGCGTGATCTTCGTGCTGAGTGAGACAAGGGCGAGTGCCTGCTTGTCGCTATGCAAGCCTGCATGATGCCAGGCATATTGTGGCACCAATCGCCGTAGCTCTAGGTCTGTAGTAAGGGGAGATCCGTCCTCAGGTCCTGCTGGGAGAGTCCAACGGCTGCTATGGCTTACAACACCACAGCCCTAGTTCTGGGCCTGCAGAGCGACAACAAGGGCTTTTACTCGGAAGAGTCCGGAGCAGGATGCAGGCTGGTTCTTGCCTGTGCGCACCAGGTGGATTCCAGGGACACCGAGCACTTCAGAGGGAACTGTTACATTCCTGGTGCTGCAGGACAGAGGAGCGTTGCCCGGGTCTCCTAGGATGGGGCAGGTTTTCTCATGCGCTGCCTCTGGTGCCAGCCACAGAAACTAAGGCAGATTCTCGCTGCCCCCCCCCCCCCCCCCCCCCCGCTCATCCAGAGTGTGAGCGTAGCTCTGGGCTGCTGCCCCCAAGCCCTCACTGCTGGAAGGTGCAGGTGGTCTGGCCTCTGGCCTCCACACTGCCCTGGGTGTGACCATGATGCCGACAGGAGCCTTTCCGTACCGAGCACGCTGCTGTGCGGGTTGCAGATGGGAAATAACAGCAGGCACCTTCCCGCTCCCTGCCCGCAGTGCTCAGACCCCAGGCGGCTCTCCACACCGAGTGCAAGTGGGTGACTGTGGCAGGTGGAGTGGCCGATTGCGGCTTCCTGCAGAGCCTGCAGCTGAGCGCGCCATGTGGCTGGCTGCAGTGCTGTCCCTACTGTCCCACTGAATCTTCCTTGGTCAGTCAGACCTTGGAGATGCATTCCCTTCCCTTGTCCTTCAAAACATGTAGAGGTTTCTAGAGTTTATCCTAAAACTGACAGTGGTGCCTGTCCCTCGCCTCTTCATTATTTTATTAGCTTTTTTTATTCATTTATTTGAGAGGCAGAAAGACATAGTTATGTGTGTGTGTGTGTGTGTGAGAGCGAGCGAGTGCGCACACGAGAGCTCCTGTCCACTGGTTCACGCCCACGTGTCTGTAACAGCTAGGTTAGGCTGGGCCAAGGACAAGAGCTAGGAGTTTGACTTCAGGCCTCCCATGTGGGTGTCGGGGACCCCTGCTGAGTCCCTGAGTCTGCACTAGGAGCTGGGGTGGGCCTCAGTGCCTGTCCTCTGGCACGGGTGCACGGGTCCCGGCTGCTACATCAGACATTCCCCTTCTGTCTTTTCCGTGTGCTGAGAACAGACCACACACTGTGTTAGGGTGCTTCAGAAAGCTCGTGGTAAAATGAAATTACATGATTAGTTCACTGTGGCACCAAACAATTTGAGATCTATCGATGCAGTTTTTTCTTTCCTTTCTTAAAGATTTTTTTTTTTTTATTTGGAAGGCAGAGTTAGCAAAAGGAGAGACAGAGACCTTCTGTCCTATGGTTTACTCCTCAAATGGCCACAAGGGCCAGGGCTGGGCCAGTTTGAAACTGGGAGCCAGAAGCTTCTCCCAGGTCCCCCACATGGGTGCAGGGGCTTAAGCACTTGGTCCGTCTTCCAATTTCGCAGGCACATTAAGAGGAAGCTGGATTGGAAATGGAGCATCCGGGAGTTGAACTGATGCCCATGTAGGATGCTGGCAGCACAGGTGGAGGTTTAACCTACTATCCTATGGCATTGGCCCCCCATGAATAGCTTTTTCAAAGTGTGAATTTTCCACGAACTTCAAGACCCTCTTACACATTTGGCTCTTGAGATACTGTAAGCAGTTTACTGTTTTTTAGAACATGTTCTGCAACGACACTGTGTTCTCTGGGTGGACTACTGCTATTTCATGGTAGGATGTATGACAAGTTATCTTTACTATTGCAAGTTGAAGCCATTTCCCATTTCTGCAATGCATAAATAACGCTGACAAATATTCTAGTATGTGAATCTTTGCATGGATCTATCTTTCTTTAGGTTAATTCCTAGAAGTATGAACCCTTACCTAAGCCTTAAGGTCATACAAACAGGTTGTTTCTAGTGTTCGTCACAGTCCCGTTCCCCCAAAGGAGATGAACGGTGACTGGCAAAGAGGGAGGAGAGCTGAAGAGGGGACATCCTCCTGCAGCCCCGGGACAGATACGGCCTCCGTGCGACAAGCATGCGGAGGACGGCTGTCGCAGGGCACCGTGGGAGCTGAAGGGCTGGTTGTGTTCAGTGGCTCCGCTTACAGCAGGGTGCAGGTGGGCAGGCTGCAGCGGGTTGCTCAGGAACTGGTCCAGAACAGTTCCCAGGTCGTCAAGCCCCGCAGCAGGTCAGAGGACACATCTCCTGACTGCTAGGAGAGCCCCTGCCAGGACGCCGTGCACAGGGCTGTGCACGCTAGTGCTGCGGGGCAGACGTCCAGAGCAAGGGCTCCAGCATGAGGCAGATGGCTACTCGGCCAGAAGAGCCGAGAAGTCATGGACAGATGGCATCGAGCTGTTTGCAGCAGGCTAACCCATCTTTATCAGAGATGTCCATGTATTCTATAAGAAATACCATATAAGCGTTATATAAATAAACATGAGCTAATGAAGGACTTTCTAGAAACTAAATCTTACTTAGTGTGGACAATTAATATCTGTACTTCAAGAGTGAGTCCGTGTCATCTGTGTGATCAGCGTGGAATCTAACACATAACCACACCTCTGCTGTTGGCAAAGCAGTGTAAGATGCACACAGACTGGCTTTAGAAATCAGAAGGAGAAAACATGGAACAGGACTTGCCCTAATTGGTTCAATGTGATTTTTTAAAAAAGATTTATTTTTGTTGGAAAGTCAGATATACAGAGAGGAGGAGAGACAGAGAGGAAGATCTTCCATGCGATGATTCACTCCCCAGGTGACAGTGCAGCAGCCGATGCTATGCCGATCCGAAGCCAGGATCCAGGAACTTCTTCCCGGTCTCCCACACGGGTGCAGGGTCCAAAGGCTTTGGGCTGTCCTCTACTGCTTTCCCAGGCCACAAGCAGGGAGCTGAATGGGAAGTGGAGGTGCCGGGATTAGAACCGGTGTCCATATGGGATCCCGGCACGTTCAAGGTGAGGACTTTAGCCGCTAGGCCACGCCGCTAGGTCCGGTTCAATGTGATTTTTAAAGGAAAGAAACCAAATTTTCTTTTTAATCAAATCCTCAAACATATGTGGAGTATGATAAGGTCTAAGAAACGCCCTGTGGCCAGTGTTGTGGAGTAGCAGGTGCCATCTGATGCTGGCGTCCCATTCTGGGCACTGGTTTGTGTCCCAGCCTCAATTTCTGAACCAGCTCTCTGCTTATGGCCTTGGAAAAGGCAGTGGAAGATGGTCCGAGTGTTTGGGAGACTGGGCTGAGGCTCCTGGCTCCTGGCGCTGCCCAGCACTGGCCACGCGGCCACCTGGTGAGTGAACCCTCCTGTCTCTGGCGTTCCCTCCAGTTCTTTCAAATTAAAACATTTCTTTTTATATTAAATTTATTTTTTATCCTAAATAGATTATCACCAAATTTCAACTTGATTTTTTAAAGTTTTTTCTTTTTCTCTGCCATGCAAGCTTTTAAGCAAATGAAATATAAAGCAAGCAGAAGCACTGTCCATCCACACATAATGAAACCTGTTCCATTTCACTATTAAAAGCAGCAAAGCAGCAGTGAGAGTGAAGTTGTTTAAACCAGCAAATGAAGGTTTGCAAGGGAGAGCCGACACCTTCCCGGGACGGCTGGCTGTGCTGATCCACTACATCAGATGGTGAGCAGCCCCATCCTTGGTGCTAGGACTCAGGAAATGACCAAGTCCTTCACAGTGGCCAGTGCCATGTCTGCACCAAGCTGGCAATTTGAGCAGCTGCCAACTAGCCCAGGCAGGCAGACGCAGGGAGAGCCGGCCAGAGAGCCGGGCTGTGTGCTGGCCAGCACTCTGGAGGAGCTACCCATCCTGGAGTGCTGCTCATTGGGGGCAGATGACCCATGACAGAAGACCAGCACCTCCGCTCCTCGGGGCTTCCCAGGGGAACAGGGCTGCAGCCAGTGGTCTCCAGCTTGCTCTGTGGGGGCAGGGAACACTCCTAACTTGACAGCCCAACCCCATCCTGTGGACGCCGAGGGCGTCCGTGTGTCACCGTGAGTGCCAGAGCGTAGGAGTCTGAGGAGTCAGTGGAAGGCATGGTCTTCCCCCATCCCTCCCCACTGCAGCATGCAGCATTGAGGGCACACACAGGGCTCTGCCACTTACCATGGTCTGCGCTCTCTGCCGACTCCCATCTCGCGGACTATGGTAGAATGCCAGGAGCCACAGCAGGGCATCACGGGGCTCGGCGTCTGCTCTCAGCAGATGCTCAGCTGCCATGTCAGCCCATCCTCCGAAGTGGGTGAAGAGAAACCAGCTCTCAAACGGCCCTCGGGAAGCCCTGGAAGAGATCCACAGCACATGGCCGCCTCCCGCTGCTCCTGCTGGGTTCTTCGAGCAGCTTGACTGTGGTGAGCATCTGGCTTACATTGCATTTACCCTGAAGTACAGTCTTTGCGCACGCTGAAGTCCTGGGAACCTGTCCACGTGACACTGTGGACCCATCAGAGGCCACTGGGCCTCCCAGCTGGGCAGGCAGCTGCCCAGGCGGCTCCAGAGCCAGGGTGGGCATGGAGGGAGACTAGGGCAGGCATGGGGGGAGACCTGAGAGGGCTGCCAGCCTCGCCCTCAGGCGGAGGGTGCTCTTTCCTTTCTGGCAGTACACATGGTGCTGGGTGATACTTCAGCAGAATTAGAAATTATGCATGTGTTTGTATATGAAGCTACTTTAAGAAGTATGAAAAACGGAATGTAAAATTTTGGTAAAAAATCATTTCAAAAATACCCCTAAGTATGGATTTCAAAGATTTATTTAAAAGGCAATTATGGAGAGAGGGGGAGAAAGAGATCTTCCACCTGCTTGCTTACTCCCAAATGGCCCCAGTAGCCAGCACTGCCAGGCTGAAGCTAGACGCTTCTTCCAGGTCTTCAACCTGGTGCGTTAGCAAGGAGATGGATTGAAGTGCCGCAGCTGGGACTTGAACTGGCGTCCGCAGGGGATTGGCACAGCGCTGCCATTTGTCTCCTGCAGCACACACAGGTTTGTTCTACAAACTTTTGAAGACCCCATACGTGCATCTGAAACTGTCAACAAGGTAAACTCATTTTTCTAATTCCACTTTCCTTGAAGTTTCTGACGCCTCTAACCGTATGTATGTCAGTGCTGGAAGGGGAAAGCTTTTCGCCTCACAGTGGGAACAGGAAGTTGCAAGATGTGTCGCAGGGGTAGCACTGCTCAAGCTAAGTCCCGCCACTCCGGCCCCAGGGTAACAGGCGGGTGGGTGACAGCTCTCCTGCTGGACTAGAGCTCATGCCTGGGTCAGGAGTGTTCCACGTCCCTCCGCCCAGGCCGTGCAGTCACGAGCTCTTAGTACTGCCCTAACTGCCCACTGGACAGGGACTGAATCAAGGTTGTGGGATTTAGAACGACAGAGCAAGGGTGGGGCCTCCAGCACACCCCTCCCAGGAGGGCAGTGGGCCCACACAGCTGACGTTCCTGGCCATGGTGCAAGGAGGCGGTGTGAGGATGCCCGGGGCCGGGTAGGGGCTCTGCTGCTCCCTTCTGCACAGGATGAAGAATACTGGGCAGCCCTCCTTCGTTCAGTGTCTTCACAGACCCGGGGGCACCAGCATCCTCTGGCTAGAACCACACAGCGCTCAGGTGGACAGGCAACACAGCAGCTGTCTCAGCTGGCGGCTGATGCGGACCAGAGGCAGCCAGTCAGCTACACTCCAGCAGGAAGAACTTGTGGCTAAAAACTTAGCAAAGCCTAAATGCAAAGAGTAGGTAATAGCACAAGTAGGTAATTAATTGCTCTTGGAGTGGATTTTCGGACTCTGCTGAAATACCCGTGCAAAGGAGGGAATGAGCATGGCGCAGGCCTTCCTGCCGCTCCTTCCTGGGAGAGGCAGGGAGGTGGGCAGAGGCCCCGCAGCCTTGTCTGCCCTGCAGGACCAGGGCTGCCAGCAAGCCGACAGGGCTCTGGGGCCTGTGTCCTTTATTACCGTTGACCTGAACCCAGGCAACGCCGAGGCCAGACAAGCTCGTGGCGTTCACATGCGTGCCTGGCAGGTCACTCTGCCCACTCAAAGCCACAGCTGCTCGGTTTCTTCCCCAGGTGATGGGGCACAGCTGTGGGCAGGGGATGGCACCTGTCACCCCTGCTCGGGGGAAGCCGAGAGCAAGGTGAAGGGAGGAGCTGCAGGTTCGCTTACCCGTGAGTTCGGTCTTCAACCTCTTCCCTGAGCAGTTGGGAGCCACGCTCCAGCAGCTGGTGCCACCGTCCCACCAGGGCATCTGCAGGTGGAGAGAGAGGAGGGATGAGGCAGCCACCTGGGAGTTAGCTGCAGCTGAGACTGGCAGTTTGGGTCTGTGGGGCCCACGCGCTGTTTGCATCTGTCCCAGCAGGCTTCACTTGTAGGTTGTAGGCATCGTCTCTAAGTGGATTCTGCCATCGGAGATACCACAACGATGGCCCAGGGACACAGGGAGCAGCCCTCAGCCCATGCTGTCACGCAGTGTCTGCCTCCTCTGAAAGCACCCAGAGCCCGTCACCCGCAGCCTTGGCAGGTACTCTTCCTCTGTCTTTATTGGTGGTTTAGGCACACTCCTGGACATTGGGTCTCCTGTGCCCTCCACCACTTCATAGTGGGCACACGAGCTGCTCAAGGGTTGTCACTGGCTTCTCGGGGGCATGAATGCAGGACAGCAACACGAAGGAAGGGTAGGCAGACTGTCCTTGCCCACGCAGCACCCTCGTCTTGCTTGCAGGTGTCCAGACATACAGAATCACAGCCCGATCCCTTTCCTGGACTGGGCGAGCTTCTGCAGGCTGGCCCTGGGCACCCTGGTCTGCCCTGTACCCAGGAAGGGAGGGCCTGACTCTCCCTTCTGCTTACTGAAGTCTCCCTGTCATGTTCCCACAGGGACCACCACAACACCATCACTCAGCCCCCCGAGGCTGCCAGCACCCCCACATCTGGCGCTGGAGAAGAGGCTAGTGTCTGACAGTGACACTGAGCAGAGACCTTCATCTTCTAGCGGAAGTTACAGAGCTGGAGATGCTGAGCCACCTGCTTTCTCGGCATGAGCCTACTCATCACTCCAGCTGCGGAAGAAAGGAGGCCAGAGATGCTCTGGGGGCCGCAGCTGGCCATGCCGCTCGCCTGCACCCAGAGAAGGGGCCTGCCTCCCTGTGCAGGTGTCTTGAACGGGCACACAAGAGAGTGTGCTCAGAGTGGCCCCAGTGAGGTGGCCGTGGTCTCAGCCGGGCCACTGAATTCCTTAACTCGCTCTCACGGCCTGCTTTGGAGAAATTTCCCCTAACTTCTCTGAGCTGCTTCAACCATTCTTTTATCTGCCCTGCTCTAACAAGGTTGCACAAGGCAGAACGGATGAAAAAGAAAACCCATGTGCCATCTGACTTGGGGTGTGGCCGAGCGGGCATCTGGGGGGTTGGCAGGCCCCTGTTATGGGCAGCCCACTGGTCTGCGCCGCTGTCCTGTTTCCTCCCTGTTGCTAAGCGACTGCAGGTGGGGGCTCAAAGCACAGTCCGACTGGAATGTGAGGTGTCAGGTCCCAGGAAGTAGGCCCTCTCCCAACTAGCCTTCATTCACACTCTTCCCCAGAGGTCCCCGAAGCCCACCAGCCAAGCCCCGGCTCACCTCCGGCTTCACCTCCGGCCTCAGGTCTGGGCTGCCGCAACAGGAGGGGGACCAGGGCTGCGGGTGCGTACGGAAAGTAGCTCTTGAGAGGAAACTTGGGCTGCACAGGATGACAAATCCAAGACGGCAGGAATGTGAGACTCCCAAGGGAGACAGCAGGAATGTGAGACTCCCAAGGGAGACAGCAGGAATGTGGGAATCCCAAGGGAGACAGCAGGAATGTGGGAATCCCAAGGGAGACAGCAGGAATGTGGGAATCCCAAGGGAGACAGCAGGAAGGTGGGAATCCCAAGGGAGACAGCAGGAAGGTGGGAATCCCAAGGGAGACAGCAGGAATGTGAGACTCCCAAGGAATCAACGCAAAATCATGCCTCTCTCCCTTGGGAGTCTCACATTCCTGCTTTCTTTAGGGAAGACAGCAGGAATGTGAGACACCCAAGGAAGACAGCAGGAATGTGAGACACCGAAGGGAGATAGCAGGAATGAGGGAATTCCAGGGAAGACAGCAGGAATCTGGAAATCCCAAGAGAGACAGCAGGAATGTGAGACTCCGAAGGGAGACAGCAGGAATGTGGGAATCCCCAGGGAGACAGCAGGAATGTGAGAATCCCAAGGGAGAGAGCAGGAATGTGAGACTCCCAAGGGAGACAGCAAGAATGTGAGAATCCCGAGGGAGACAGCAAGATTGTGAGAATCCCCAGGGAGACAGCAGGAATGTGAGAATCCCAAGGGAGACAGCAGGAATGAGGGAATCTCAAGGGAGATGGCAGGAATGTGAGACTCCCAAGGGAGACAGCAGGAATGTGAGACTCCCAAGGAATCCACGCAAAATCATGCCTCTCTCCCTTGGGATTCTCACATTCCTGCTATTCCAAGGGAGACAGCAGGAATGTGAGAATCCCAAGGGAGACAGCAGGAATGTAAGACTCCCAAGGGTGACAGCAGGAATGTGGGAATCCCCAGGGAGACAGCAGGAATGTGAGACTCCCAAGGGAGACAGGAGGAATGTGAGACTCCCAAGGGAGTCAGCAGGAATGTGAGACCCCCAAAGGAGACAGCAGGAATGTGGGAATCCCAAGGAAGACAGCAGGAATGTGGGAATCCCAAGGGAGACAGCAGGAATGTGAGACTCCCAAGGGAGACAGCAGGAATGTGAGACTCCCAAGGAATCAATGCAAAACCATGATCTCTCCCTTGGGATTCTCACATTCCTGCTGTCTCCCTTGGGATTCTCACAGTCCTACTATCCCTATGGAGACAGCAGGAATGTGAGAATCCCCAGGGAGATAGCAGGAATGTGAGAATCCCCAGGGAGACAGCAGGAATGTGAGAATCCCAAGGGAGATAGCAGGAAGGAGGCATTACCAAGGGAGACAGCGTGAATGTGAGACACGCAAGGGAGACAGCACGAGTGTGAGACTCCCAAGGGAGAAAGCAGGAATGTGAGAATCCCAAGGAATCAACGCAAAACAATGATCTCTCCCTTGGGATTCTCACATTCCTGCTATCCCATGGTAGACAGCAGGAATGTGAGAATCCCAAGGGAGACAGCAGGAATGTGAGACTCCCAAGGAATCAACGCAATACCATGCCTCTCTCCCTTGGGAGTCTCACATTCCTGCTATCCCAAGGGAGACAGCAGGAATGTGAGAATCCGCAGGGAGACAGCAGGAATGTGAGAATCCCAAGGGAGACAGCAGGAAGTACGCATTACCAAGGGAGACAGCAGGAATGTGAGAATCCCAAGAGAGACAGCAGGAATGTGAGACTCTCAAGGGATACAGCAGGAATGTGAGACTCCCAAGGGAGACAGCAGGAATGTAGGAATCCCAAGGGAGGCAGCAGGAATGTGAGATTCCCAAGGAAAACAGCAGGAATGTGGGAATCCCAAGGGAGACAGCAGGAATGTGAGACTCCCAAGGGAGGCAGCAGGAATGTGAGACTCTCAAGGAATCAACGCAAAACCATGATCTCTCCCTTGGGATTCTCACATTCCTGCTGTCTCCCTTGGGATTCTCACAGTCCTGCTATCCCAAGGGAGACAGCAGGAATGTGAGAATCCCTAGAAAGATAGCAGGAATGTGAGAATCCCCAGGGAGACAGCAGGAAGCAGGCATTAACAAAGGAGACAGCATGAATGTGAGACACGCAAGGGAGACAGCACGAGTGTGAGACTCCCAAGGGAGAAAGCAGGAATGTGAGAATCCCAAGGAATCAACGCAACACCATGCCTCTCTCCCTTGGGAGTCTAACATTCCTGCTATCCCAAGGGAGACTGCAGGAATGTGAGAATCCCAAGCGAGACAGTAGGAATGTGAGAATCCCCAGGGAGACAGCAGGAATGTGAGACTCCCAAGGGAGACAGCAGGAATGTGAGACTCCCAAGGGAGAGAGCAGGAATGTGAGAATCCTAAGGGAGACAGCAGGAATGTGAGACTCCCAAGGGAGACAGCAGGAATGTGAGACTCCCAAGGGAGACAGCAGGAATGTAGGAATCACAAGGGAGACAGCAGGAATGTGAGATTCCCAAGGAAGACAGCAGGAATGTGGGAATCCCAAGGGAGACAGCAGGAATGTGGAAATCCCAAGGGAGACAGCAGGAATGTGAGACTCCCAAGGGAGACAGCAGGAATGTGAGACTCCCAAGGAATCAATGCAAAACCATGATTTCTCCCTTGGGATTCTCACATTCCTGCTATCCCATGGGAGACAGCAGGAATGTGAGAATCCCAAGGGAGACAGCAGGAATGTGAGACTCCCAAGGGAGACAGCAGGAATGTAGGAATCCAAAGGGAGACAGCAGGAATGAGGGAATCCCAAGGGAGACTGCAGGAATGTGAGAATCCCATGGGAGACAGCAGGAATGTGAGACTCCCAAGGGAGACAGCAGGAATGTGTGACTCCCAATGGAGACAGCAGGAATGTGAGAATCCCAAGGAATCAACGCAAAATCATGCCTCTCTCCCTTGGGAGTCTCACATTCCTGCTTTCTTTAGGAAAGACAGCAGGAATGTGAGACTCCCAAGGGAGACAGCAGGAATATGGGAATCCCAAGGGAGACAGCAGGAATGTGAGACTCCCAAGGGAGTCGGCAGGAATGTGAGAATCCCAAGAGAGACAGCAGGAATGTGAGAATCCCAAGGGAGACATCAGGAATGTGGGAATCCCAAGGGAGACAGCAGGAATGTGGGAATCCCAAGGGAGACAGCAGGAATGTGGGAATCCCTAGAGAGACAGCAGAAATGTGGGAATCCAAAGGGAGACAGCAGTAATGTGAGACTCCCAAGGGAGACAGCAGGAATGTGAGACTCCCAAAGAATCTATGCAAAACAATGATCTCTCCCTTGGGATTCTCACATTCCTGCTATCCCAAGGGAGACAGCAGGAATGTGAGAATCCCAAGGGAGAGAGCAGGAATGTGAGACTCCCAAGGAATCAACGCAATACCATGCCTCTCTCCCTTGGGTTTCTCACATTCCTGCTATCCCAAGGGAGTCGGCAGGAATGTGAGAATCCCCAGGGAGACAGCAGGAATGTGAGAATCCGCAGGGAGACAGCAGGAATGTGAGAATCCCAAGGGAGACAGCAGGAAGGACGCATTACCAAGGGAGACAGCAGGAATGTGAGACTCCCAAGGGAGACAGCAGGAGTGTGAGACTCCCAAAGGAGACAGCAGGAATGTGAGACTCCCAAGGGAGGCAATAGGAATGTGAGATTTCCAAGGAATACAGCAGAAATGTGGGAATCCCAAGGGAGACAGCAGGAATGTAGGAATCCCAAGGGAGACAGCAGGAATGTGAGACTCCCCAGGGAGACAGCAGGAATGTGAGACTCCCAAGGGAATCAAGGCAAAACCATGATCTCTCCTTTGGGATTCTCACATTCCTGCTATCCCATGGGAGACAGCAGGAATGTGAGAATCCCAAGGGGACAGCAGGAATGTGAGAATCCCCATGGAGCCTGCAGGAATGTGAGAATCCGTAAGGAGACCGCAGGAATGTGAGAATCCCAAGGTAAACAGCAGGAAGGAGGCATTACCAAGGGAGACAGCAGGAATGTGAGAATCCCAAGGGAGACAGCAGGAATGTGAGACTCCCAAGGGAGACAGCAGGAATGTGAGACTCCCAAGGAAGACAGCAGGAATATGGGAATCCCAAGGGAGACAGCAGGAATGTGGGAATCCCAAGGGAGACAGCAGGAATGTGGGACACCCAAGGGAGACAGCAGGAATGTGAGACTCCCAAGGAATCAACGCAAAAGCATGATCTCTCCCTTGGGATTCTCACATTCCTGCTATCCCATGGGAGACAGCAGGAATGTGAGAATCCCAAGGGAGACAGCAGGAATGAGGGTATCTCAAGGGAGACGGCAGGAATGTGAGACTCCCAAGGGAGACAGCAGGAATGTAAGACTCCCAAGGGTGACAGCAGGAATGTGGGAATCCCCAGGGAGACAGCAGGAATGTGAGACTCCCAAGGGAGACAGCAGGAATGTGAGACTCCCAAGGGAGTCAGCAGTAATGTGAGACCCCCAAAGGAGACAGCAGGAATGTGGGAATCCCAAGGGAGACAGCAGGAATGTGAGACTCCCAAGGGAGACAGCAGGAATGTGAGACTCCCAAGGAATCAATGCAATACCATGCCTCTCTCCCTTGGGATTCTCACATTCCTGCTATCCCAAGGGAGACAGCAGGAATGTGAGAATCCCCAGGGAGACAGTAGGAATGTGAGACCCCCAGGTAGGCAGCAAGAAAGTGAGACTCCCAAGGGAGACAGCAGGAATGTGAGACTCCCAAGGGAGACAGCAGGAATGTGAGAATCCCCAGGGAGACAGCAGGAATGTGAGACTCCCAAGGGAGACAGCAGGAATGTGAGACTCCCAAGGGAGACAGCAGGAATGTGAGAATCCCAAGGGAGACAGCAGGAATGTGGGAATCCAAAGGGAGACAGCAGGAAAGTGAAAATCCCAAGGGAGACAGCAGGAATGTGAGACTCCCAAGGAATCAATGCAAAACCATGATCTCTCCCTTGGGATTCTCATATTCCTGCTGTCTCCCTTGGGATTCTCACAGTCCTGCTATCCCAATGGAGACAGCAGGAC